ACCCCATAACGGCCCCATAACCACCCCACAAATATTCCCAAACCACCCCATAACCGCCCCTTACATCTGCCACAACTGCCCCAAAAATACCCCATAGCCACCCCACAGCGGCCCTACACCTGCCCCATAGATAGCCCAGAACTGCCCCATACCCACCCCACAGATATCCTATAAGACCCCATAGGGCCCCACATGGCCCCGTACGGCCCTATATGGCCCCAAACGTGCTGTAGCGCCCTGCTGTGGGGTTGGAGCCCAGCTCACCCCCATAACCGCCCCATAACCCCCCTATGTGACCCCATAAGACCCTATAAGGCCCTGCATGACCCTATAAGACCCCATACAACCCTATAAGACCCCATACGTGCCGTAGTGCCCTGCTGTGGGGTTGGAACTCAGCTCACCCCCATAACCGCCCCATACCCCCCCTATGTGACCCCATAACTCCCCTATAAGACCTCATAAGACCCTATAAGGCCCTGCATGACCCTATAAGGCCCCATACAACCCTATAAGACCCCATATATGCTGTAGCGCCCTGCTGTGGGGTTGGAGCTCAGTGCACCCCCATAACCGCCCCATAACCCCCCTATGTGACCCCATAAGACCCTATAAGACCCCATAAGACCCTATAAGGCCCTGTATGGCCCCACACGGCCCCATACGGCCCTATATGGCCCCACTTGCTGTAGTTCCCCGCCGTGGGTTTGGAGCTCAGCTCATCTCCCGACGCAGACGACTCGGATTCGCTGTCGGATCCGGTGGTGAAGAATCGCGACATGGCGACGACGGCGCTGCGGGGTCAGATGGGGGAACGGTTATGGGGCGGCCCCACAGAGACCAAACCCCATAGAGACCGGCCCTATAGAGCCTGACCCCACAGAGCCCAGACCCCACAGAGCCCGGCCCCATAACGGCCCCATAACGGCCCCATAGCCGCCCCACAGAACCCCACCCCGCCCCATAGGGCCCCATAGCGACGCCACAGGCCCCACACCGACCCGGACCCCCCAAACGGACCCCAGCCCCACAAACCTGGCCCCCAAACCCCACAAACGGCCCCCAAACCCCACAAACGACCCCACAAACGGCCCCACAAACGGCCCCACAAACCCCACCAGCGGCCCCACGCGCTCGCAGCCCCGCACGCCGCCAAGCGAACGCCGTAAAAGAGAACGCGCCGGAAGTCCCGCCCCGCTTAAACAGCCCCTTCCGCCGGAAGTGACGCCAACAAAACGCGACGGCGCCACAATCAACAGAAGACCCGCCAATTCCGCGGCGCAGCCAATGGAAGGAGCGGAGCTCCGCCCCACGGATCTCTGCCCCACGGATCTCTGCCCCACAGCTCAGGCCCACGGATCCCGGCCCCACGGATCCCCGCCAGATTCCCTCCTCCCCGCGCTCACAGGCGCTCTCCACACTCCGCGCAAGATGGCGCGACGGAAGTGACGACAGTCCGTTTCCGGCGGAAGAGCGCGACACGTAACTTCCGCTCCCTCCCCAGCCTCAAGCCCCGCCCACACAGCGGGCGGCCAATGGGGGGCGAGACCTTTATTGACCACGTGCAGCGGAGCTTCCGGGGTCACGAGGAAATAAATGAGTCACGTGGCGCGGGCTTCTTTTCAGTCTCTCGATGTTTCCGGGGTCACGTGACACAAAAGCTTTTCCCGTCTCCCGAGGTTTTCCGGGGTCACGTGACGCAAAGGCCCCCCCATCTTCAGCTTTTCGCGTCTCGCGATGTTTAAGGAATCACGTGACTTGGGGCCTTTTCCCGGTCTCGCGATGTTTCCAGCGGTCACGTGGCGACGGGCTTTTTCCGGAGTCACGTGCCCCAGGGAAGGGGGCGAAAAAGGGAGGGGGGGTGGAAGGTTGTAGTGTCACGTGACGGCGGGCCTTTTTTTTCCGGTCACGTGTCGAATGTTTCCTCGCGTCACGTGCCGCGGGGGGCTTCGCTGTCACGTGGCTCAGGTCACGTGGCACAGCAGGCGGTGCGCCCCCACCGCCGCCGCCGCCGCCGCCGCGATGCCGACGGAGTCCGACAGAGCGGAAACGGAAACGGCCAGCGTGCGCGCGGGGGGCGGGGCCTGGGGGAGGGGGCGGGGCCAGGCGGGGGTCACGTGGGGTCGCGTAGGAACCCATAGGGACCCACAGCCACCCCATAACCACCCCAAAGCCCCCCGTACTCCCGCCCTACAGACACACAGCCACCCCATAGCCACCCATAGCCACCCCATAGCCCCTCAGTGCCCCCATAGCACCCCATAGCCACCCCATAGCACCCCATAACCCCTCATAACCCCCATATCTCCCCATACCCACCCCATAGCCACCCCATAACCACCCCATATCTCCCCATAATACCCCATAGCCACCCCAT